AAACTTCTAATGTCTAGAATTGATAAATGAAAAGATATTTAACATTCAATATTAATTGTAGCAACAATACCTATCAATATATAATTTATCCAGAGATTGTAAAAGTCGTTATAAATACTGAAATTTGAATTATTTTATTGTAAAAATAAAAAATAATGGATTCAGTTTAACACAAATGTGATTATTAAGTGATATTTCTTCCGTCACTTGTGCAACTGTGCACTTTTTGGCTACTTAAACAAAAGTCATTTTTTTTTAATGTTTAACGTTAAATATCTTTTTAATTATTGATTATAAACACCTAAAAGTAAATAATCTTAGAAAGACAATTTAATAATCTTTTAAATGCAAAAACAATAAACAGGGTGTTCCATTAAAATTTTTTAAGTTATTGAACTTTTAACAAACGCCTTCATTTTTTTATCTTTGCAAATGCAACACACTAAAAAAATGTTACAATCTTATAGCTTGTACCTTCTTCTTTGCGGTAGTAAAAAAATATTTCTAGATGTCTTAGTCTTTGTGTAATAAATTTTTAAAAAGCGCATGTTTTCGTAAAAAAACCGTCTTGTTTTTAAAACTAAGCAAAATCGACCAATAAAAGTTGTCATAAAAATCTACATCCAAAAACACTAAGAAATATATGGTGTTTCATTTAAAAAAACACAAGTTCGTATTGTAACTTATTTTTGAGACACGCTGTATAGTTGAAAATAATTTTAGGTGATGACTGATGAACTAGATTAGTATCTATAAATATATTAGTCTTATAAAATATTTTTTAAATTTTGTCATTTAGAGGTCAATAATTGACTTTTTCACCTCTCTGGGACACCCTGTATATGTATGTAGGTATACATACAGTATAAAAGTTTTATTTCTTGAAACAAAAGAGGATTTTACGGATGTTCAAACCATCAAGTTAGATTAATCACTGGAACAATAGATTTGGGTACTAAGGATCTCATAAAGCTATTCATAAGTCTATTCTCCAAAGGTTTAATTAACTTTTGCATTTTCTTTGTTTCGTAATCAAAAAGTATGTAATTACGTGATGCTCAGTAGTTTAAGCAATAGTTATTGTTATTCATCACTTTATTATAATTTAGTTTTTAATTGGAAAATCTGTTTTATAACTGAACCTTGTTGACAAATTTAGATTTAAAAAACTCTACTATACATGTAAAAAAATGCCACAATTTATGATAAAATAATAAATTTTGGTTTCTTAACTTGCGATTAAAGAGATTTCCTAGAGCAGAAATAAAAAATAAAAAACGTTTTATAATTCCTAAATTGTATTCAAGTTTATTACTTCTAACAAAACAGAAACGCATAATATCACTTTATTAGTTTCATTTTCAATGACGTTTAAAATCGAACGAATAAATCCAGTGGGCAAGGGAAAATTCAGTTTGGACAAAGGAAGTTCGTAGTTCTTCAAATTGTATCGACCCTAAACAATCTATTTTTTTATAAAATCACATAAAATTTTCATGGCTTACATTTCCTATGGGACAAGTACGAGGAGCAAGAGCAATTTGTTGTTGCAGTTCAAACCAGAACTTTCCTAAATCTTTGTTAAAGTAATCACAAAGATCAGATCTTGAGAATTTAAATAAAGGCGTAAAACTTTCTTCGTTCTCGGAATATTCAAATGTTGCATTCATCTAGAATCTGTGCTCTTAATTGTCTATCTATAGGATGCGCCAGAACTCGCGCCCCAGAGAAAATTTTCAAGTAAGATAAGATACCAGGAACATAGAAAAATTCTATCTGTCAAAAAAATTTGACATTTACTTTTTGACATTTGACATTTTTATTATTCTATTTAATGATACTGATGATCTTGTATATGCTTTTTTACAATTATTTAGTAAAGGTTCAAAAATTCGTAAAATCTGTAGCAAAAAAACTTTGAAAATTATTTTTACAACAGAAATGGAGTAAAGGTGCAAAATTTATACTCTCAAATTTTTTCTATGTTTCTGGTATCTTACCTTATTTTTTTTCCTGGGGCGCGATTTTTGGCGCACCCTGTATAAATAAGTGAAAAGTATCTACTGATTGGTTCATCCCGAGAGGTGTGTTGACAATGCATGTAATATTCAAGAATTGATGACCATTTCGTTCCTTGAAATTTCCTTCGAGAGCAATGGGGTAGTCGTAATTCGGGTCACACATTTCAAACTTTTTTATTAATATTTTTTTCTTCCCGTTTACGATACACTGAAAAAACTAACGACAAATGTTAATTTGATAAGTGGTATCAACTTACTGCAAAAACAAGAATAAAACTGAAGCACTTAGTATGAGGGTTCATTGTTAAATGCATTTAAAAAATATTCTAATAATAAATATGTATGTGATTTAGAGAATGAAATTTTAACGGCTGATTATATCAAAGGCCATCCGATGTGCGATTATAAATAAAACAATTTAGATAATTACATTTTGATGGGAGTGTTACGAATATTAAACTGCCAAAATACCTATTTACTTATTTAAAAAAGTTGCACAGTATAATTTTTATTTTCCAAACGAAAATTCTTTGCTCAAAACATAAAGAAATTATAAAAATAAGCACAATAAGCAATAAACATAATAAACTAGTTTGTTGGGTATTTTTTGCCGATGCGATTATTTTTTCCTGAAACTTGACCACGTCTTTGTATATTTCTTGTTTTCTTCACTTATTAAAACATAGAGGAAACAGTAATTATTCATTATAAAGTGAAAGCACGTGTAAATACAAAAAATACTTGGATATAAGATTACAACATTTATGAAACAATAATAAATAATTTCACATTTTTGTGAGTATTAAAAAGTAAAAATAGTCAACTTAAAATACTCTACGATACATAGTTTTCGAGATATTGAGTAATAAAGATAAGAACAAGCCTAGAAGCATATATATGATTTTGACTAAATAAAATTTCAACTTTAAAATTGATCTATACGACATTTCCAAAGATCCTAAAGACTCAAAAAAGTGTCAAAAATCGACCAAAATCACGACAAAAATTTAAAAAAATTTTCAACTTTAAAATTTGTATAACGTTTTTACATATCTAGAAGTTTTAAATATTCAAAAAATTACATAAAACGTTATTGGGTCAGATTTAAAAAATTACGAATTTTTGAATGTGAGTAAAGTTAAGAATAGGGCCAAAATCTCGACAAAAATCCAAAAAATTTTCAACTTTAAAATTGATCCATATAACGTTTTTTTAACATTTCTAGAGATTTTAAAGACTCAAATAAGTACATAAAACGCCATTGGGTCTAGTTTAAAAAATTTCGAATTTTTTGAATTTTTGAAGATGAGCGGTAGTAAAATCGTCAAAATAGTCAATTTATCTTAAGTCGTAAAAACGGTTGAAATATGGTTTTCTAGACGTAAAATTACTCGCTGAACACGATTCAACTAGTTAGAATACTCTACGATGCATAGTTTTTGAGATATTGAGTAATAAAGTTAAGAATAAGGTCAGAAGAATAAGCACTATATCTGATTATAACCAAAAAATCAACATTTTTTGATTCTTATGAAAAACTAGTACTATATGTAAAATTAACCGGAGAACACGCCTGTATAAACCCTGTTGACCTAAGACTCATAGTTTTTGAGATATGAATTTTTTTTGAAAAAACTAAAAATGGCTCTGTACCCGGAGCCATAACCCGGAGCGACTTCCGGTTTGCGCCAATAAATAGATAATTTCAAGCTATTTTTAATGTTTTTTAGCTCTTTGCTCTAAATCTTATAGTTTCGTAGAAAAACGCGTTTAAAHTTTCACAATTTTTACAATTTTCACTTTTTGAACGGCGATTACGGCCAAACTATTAGACTTAAAGCAATCAGTCCAACTCCATCGTAATCAGCGTAAGAAAATCTATCGACTGAGGCCAAAACCAAGTCGATGTCTCGCAAAAAAAAATTGAATTTTTAAACGCCGATTACGGCGAAACTAAAGGAGATAGCCCAATGTGGTTGGTAAATTCGTAATTAGCGCGTCAAAATCTATCGGATAAGATAGGTTTAAATTGAATCTGAGACATGTTTAAAAACACTAGTTTTTAAGGAGGGGGTGTTGACAAATTTTTAAATTTTTTTATTTTGTAAATTGCGGCAAAACTGTGTCTCAATGACATAATATTTTGACCTAWACCTATGTAAAATGTTCCGGGGAATCGATTGGCGTCAATTAAACTGCAAAATTCGTAGTAGTTTTGAAGTTATAGTCGGATTTAAATTTTCGATATTTTTGAATTTATCAGAAATTTTCTCGATAACTATTCATCGTAGAGCACTGAACTTTTTAATATATCATAGAAAATTCAATTTTCTATCCAATAGTACCAAATATAAGAGGTTATCTCTAATAAGTCCGGAGTTATTGCCATTAGACCGCTCCGGGTGCCAAAAATCGACCAAAATCTCGACAAAAATCCAAAAACTTTAAAATCAATTCATATCAGGTTTTTTACATTTCTAGTGGTCTTAAAACCCCAAAAAGTGGATAAAACGTTATTGGGTCAAGTTTAAAAAATTACGAATTTCTTGAGTGTTTTAAGGTAATAAAATCGTAAAAATTCATTATTTAAAAATTAATTAGATATGTACAATATATACGAGATACGCAAAATATTCTGTTGCATTTCTTGTCTTTTAAATTACTACGCTGTCTCTATAAAAATCCTAATTGAAAACAGTGCACAATGCGTTTCAGTTTTTTTCCCCTAAGGCTAGTTGCCTCGAGTAATCCAAACGTTATAAATCTTTTGAAAAGAAATACGTTATTTAGCATTCTCACAATGTGTACCAAAGCTTTTAAATGTGTAAAACTTGTATGCAGTAAGTTATTATAAAACTCTAAAGGCGTGTTGAACGGAAAGTACACATTTTATTATTCGCACGCCACACTTTTATGAATACCTGGCTTATTAAAAAATAAGTTCCACTTTAGAAGCTCATACTCGTATTGGTATATTTTTTATTATATTATATTATATATTATTTAAATTTTTTGAACAAAATACATACAGGGTGCGCCAAAACTCGCGCCCCAGGGAAAATTTTCAAGTATGGTAAGATACCCGGAATATGAAAAAAAATTTGACACTTATTTTTTGACATTTGACATTTTTTTATATCTATTTAATGATGCTGATGATCTTGTATATGTTTTTTTACAATTATTTAGTAAAGGGACAAAAATTTTGCCAATAAAAGCCACAAATAACATTAAACAGAGTTACAATTTAGGATGCAGCTTCCTTGTTTCCTCTTTTAATAGCCTATAGCAAAAAAACTTGGACAATTATTTTTTCAACAGAAATAAATAGAGTCAAAGTGCAAACTTTAAACCCTCATAACTTTGAAATTTTTATAGACAATTTTTTTTTAACATTTTTTCCATGTTCCTGGTATCTTACCTTATATGGCATTTTTTTCTGGAGCGCGAGTTCCGGCGCATCCTGTCCAAACTTGTAGATAATACTAGTTTACGTAAAATTTCATAAAACAATACAGGGTGAATCATATGAAATAAAAATCATAACCGATTTTCAAACGCAACCCAAAATACATTCTCGGATAATAATAATAAAGTTGGCATTATAATCGAATTTTTTTGTATTTTATTTATATCTACAGTGTTTTTGTTTTTTATTCGCCATTAACTGTTTTTTTTGCATAATATTACGCAAGTAAAATTTTCATTATTTGAAATGGAAAAGGTGTTTTCTATTGAGCAATTAATTAACCAGTTTGTTGCAACTGGCAGCTGGAATGACGTAAGTTAGTTCCACGTGACCATATCACGTTTTCATTTGTGTGTTGGGAAAAGCAATCCACTTTTCGAATTCCAGAATTTCCAGACAATGATTAAGTTTCGTTATAAGAATTACAGCTAAACACGAGCTGAGTTATATAATCGTAACATTAGAACAAAGGGCTAATGGTGGTTAACAAGGTGTTTTTGATTTTCTGACGTACTTGAGATATTTGAGTAACGAAATGAGAAATAAGAAAACACGAATGAAGGTGGTAATAATGGCAATAGGCATTATTGGTTTTCTTTGTATTTTTTTTAATTAAACCTTCCAAATAATAGATATTTAGGGAATGTAAGTGAAAGAGAAACCACGTAATAATCACAAATTTGCTGATATTTTAGAAATTGCGCTGCTTACATTTTATTCTTTTGTAGCTCTTGAATTTTAATGCTTCGAGTGCTCATCCTTATTCCGGTACTTATGTTCCCTCAACTTTTTTAAACTCAGTCTAACATGCTTCCCTTCTTTCTCTTGAAACGTAGTAATTTATCCTATTGTGCTTATCGTCCTTGATTTGCTGCAATGGTTCCGTCTATTGTAACTTTTATGAGCTTGTTTGTGGATTTGATCATTTAGATTTTGCATTAAAAATACATTAGGTGACGTGTGAATAATTGGATTGTTGATATAAATTGAGAAAGAATGATAACGATTGACTTATTTCAGGTAATACGTAATGGGTTAGTAAAATTAATTTATTTTGAAATACATCTAAAAAAATCTACCAAGATAAAAACAAAGTCGAATTTTTAAGTTTTATAATAATTATTATTTATACATGTATATTTTAAAGTCGCCTACATTAAAAAAATGTTATACAACCAACAAAACATTAAATCTGTTTTATATTTGCCTAAACACAAGGCGTTTTTAAGGGGCGTGGTTAGAATAGAAAGGCGTGGTTAAATGAGCGTGACTTAAGGATGCAACCAACAATGCAATAAAATATTTTACAACGAATGCGAATCAAAATTGCTTAAATTTTGTTTTTTTAATTTATTCAACTAACAATACTTGAATTTAGTCTAATCTTTTACAAAAAAAAATTATGCAACTAGCAATATGTATGAATTAAAATTGCTGATTTTTTTAATATGTTATACAATTAACAATACAATCTGTTTTATTTTTGCCTAAACACTCAGCGTTTTTTAGAAGTGTAGTAAAAAAAAGGTAAAATAAAATGCAGGCAACAATACATCAAATTGTCAAAATTATTACACATTTAAGACTCGCACCCCAGAAAAAAATGCTATGGAAGGTAAGATAGCAAAAACATAGATAAAAATGTTAAAAGAATTCTTTCTATAAAAATTTCGAAATTATGAGTATAAATTTTGCACTTTAAATTAAATAAAATATTTAAATGTTATGCAACCAACAGTACAACCGGTCTATTTAAGTTGTAACAGTAATGACTTTTTTATTCTCATAAAAACTGTAATGAAGTCTCTAAATTTTGAAAATCTGGCAAATATTTGTTTTTATAGTTTTTATAATGCAATAGCAATTTTTAGAATTATGCATTGTTGAAATCGAACGCAAATACATAATTAACATTGAATACTCGGCATTTTAAGAATTAAATATAATGTAATGTCTGAATGTCAATAATTGTCACATTTAATTTCCTGCAAATTTTCAAATTTCACTAATTACAGTTTCCTTTGGAGCGTGAGGCGCACGTCATCTACCGGAATTTAACATTTTGACAAATTCACGATTTTGACCTATTTTTTTGTCACTTTAAAAAGTTCACTGTAAACTACCCTTTACTGTCATCATGACTGACATTTGACAATTAAACCTTTTTTTGTTGTTAAAATTGTTAATTAAACAATTTGTCTGTCTTAGGAAATTTATTACTTGAACTAAGTGTAAGTGGCTACCCGTTATTATGCCACAAATCACTATTTTTGAAAGTAAAAAAGTCAAAATGACATAAACATGACAAGAGTAAAAAATGAGGTTACTTTAATCGCATTTGTTAAAGTGAGATAAATAGTGGGACCGACCTTACGCAAATAGGTAGAGACAGAACAAGGCTGTTTACAAATGTTGAAAAGAGATTGCAATCTGGCGAATTATTAATTATTATTAACAATAATTAAAACAACTTTAAAAACTTAAATTTAATAGTTTTTCAAAATGTAGTATCGTTTTCACGATAGCATCAACACACAGGTTAGTAGTTAGTGTCCAAAGTTTATAAACTGTTCTATAAAAGATTAAAATTATAAAAAAAAACAAGACTAGAGATTTGTCAACAAGAAATTACCACCTAGAATTGAATTTTTAGGAAAATTACGTATTTCATGTTGTTTGTAACTAGAATTTTCAGAAGTAATTTTGAATGCCTAGGGTTGGTAACCCCTTGATGTTGACGATTGACGTTTTCTGTCAACTATCAATTGAATTATCTATACAAGCTGACAGGTGTCATAACCTAAATTTTTGACGCTAGTTACGATATCTTTTGTTTGTCACAAAAAAACAACCTAACCAAATTTATGGCAACCTATTCACGTTTATCCCTAAATCCTAGGGAGTAATTTCTTGTTGATACGATAATATACTCGTTTTCATATTAATGTGCATCGAAGTAAATATTTGTCAACAATAAATTACCACCTAGGATTTGAATTTTTAGGAAAATTACGTTTTTCATGTTGTTTGTAACTAGAATTTTCAGAAGTAGTTTTGTATGCCTAAGGTTGGTTACCCCTTGTTGTTGCCGGTTGACGTTTTCTTTCAACCTGCTGGTGGCAACCATGAGGAAATTCAAACAATCCCTAAAAATTATTTTTTCAAATAAATGTGTACTCTATGTACCAAAAAATAGTTAAAATTGACAACGTAATCAACATAGGATAGCAAACATAAAGATTTTTGTCATTATTGATGTGATTAAATTTGTTTTGAATGACATTAATGACACTTTTTGTGTAAATCGGACTTTAAATTAAAGATTCATTTAGACTTCTACAACCTACTTGATGCACATTAGTATGAAAAAGAGGATACTGTCCACTTTCTAACGCTAGAAAAGTAGTTTTTGAATCAGTTTTATTAAAAAAAATCGAAAGAATGTTTTACGAACTTAAAAAAATGCAACAGTGCAATCCGAATTCCAACCGGTAGGTGGCGCAAGCCTATTTCATTCATCTTTGACAAGTAATGACAAGTTCATTCATGTTGACAAGAAAAATAACAATGCACAAGAAAATATGAAATTTAGATAATTATTCACTTCACACAGCATAAATGGCGTACGTTAATGTGAGGGATTGGTCAGTTGATCAAGTAATCGACTGGTTAAAAGGTAATCTAATTTAGAAACTTGAAGGATGACCTAACCTCAATTATTTTTTTTTAGGCCTCGATAGTATTATTTTGCAATATACGACCTCGTTCTTGAATAATGGGGTAACAGGACATCAATTACTTAGTTTAAGAGCCGACGATTTGGATAATTTAGGAGTTAAAAGTTTAGGACATCAAGAAGTCATTTTAGAATCAGTGGAACATTTGAGACATTTTGTATGTAATAAAAGACAGTATGTAATTTCCTAACTAGGAATTTTGCAGCACTTTGAATTAGATAAAGAAAATTTGCAAATGCTCGCATTGAAGGTCTCCTGCGCTTCGAATTCTCTCTACAAAGAACTGTTATTAGTCGATGATGATTGTCCCATAGTTTCGCCCCAAATGATGTCAGACGTGCACAACATCATAATGACCATAAAACCGCTAGTTTGCTGGCTGGATCGCGCCCCCTTTCTCGGCGATAAAGACTACATTGATTGCAAAACACAATTGCTTGATTTGAGCTTTGAGATGGCTACGAGGGCCCATCGAGGGAAATTCTCCGAGAAACCGGTGAGCTTCATCAAGGAGATTTGCGAACGAATCACCAAACTCGCCGATCATATTATACAAGAGATTTCCGATCCGATGGTTTTGCAACCGGCCTCGCTTGATCTCGCCACTTTAAAGAAAAAGGAGCAAGAATTGGGTTTTTTTATCTCGCCAAATAATCATGCAATTCATCAAATTGCCGAGATTAAGTATGGCTCACCGGCACATGGAAGCAGTAAAATCGAAGAGGGCGATGAAATCGTCCAGGTTAATTATCAGACTGTTGTGGGGTGGCAACGCAAGAATGTGATGATCTTGCTTCAAGATTCGCCCCCAGAAATTGTACTCACGTTGAAGAAGAGACCAAGACATACGAAAGTTTATGGTCAGATTTATATGAAACCGTATCGTTTGCCGAGTAAAAAGCTTGATGGACAGACGTATTTTCGGTGGAATGATAGTATACCGCCTTCTAGACTGCTTCCAATGCATAGTTTATCGCCAATTGACATTCCAAAGTAATGATTTTAAACTACTCTATTTATGTTTTGTTTATATTTTTGATGTTTTAGATTGCCTGTGGTTATTGAGCCTCCTGATGTCGAAATTGAGTTGAGTAGTAGTGATGATAGTGAGCCTCCTGATAGTCCTTTGGATGGTAGTGGACGAATGTATCCTCTTAAGCCGAGACCGATTTTGCAAAGGCGGAATACCATTACGGGGCCTTTGCCCACCTCCAAAACACCGTATCCCTACATGGAGAAGGTCTGAATAAATTTAATAATAATAATAAAATTTAAGGTGAATTAAACACATTTTTTAAACTTTACTCAATATTAATCAAAAAATTCCTCAGTACAGGACAAAATTTGCACTAAGTGTGTTTAAAGGACTAATCATGATTTAAAAAAAAAACAAAGTTTTTTTATTGGTGAAAAACGAAATTTTTTTATCATTTAATAAAGGAATTAGAAAAAAAAAGAAAATTAGAATAATATTCAAAAAGTCCATTTTTTAGTTGAAACTTTCGAAAGTCCGTATTTAAAGTCAATTAAACACATTTTTTAAACTTCACCCAATATTGGGCAATTTTGAATCAAAAAATTCCTCAGTACGGCCCTGATATGGCCCCTATTTTGACAAAATTTGTACTAAGTGTGTTTAAATGACTAATCATGCTTTAAACAAAATCAAAGTTTTTTTATTGGTGATAAAAGCGAAATTTTTATCATTTGATAAAAGAAAAAAAAAAGAAAATTAGAATAATATTAAATAATTCCATTTTTTAGTTGAAACGTTAGAAATTTCGTATTTAGGGTCAATTAAACACATTTTTAAACTTCACCCAATATTGGGCAATTTTTAATCAAAAAATTCCTCAGTACGGCCCTGATATGGCCCCTATTTTGACAAAATTTGTACTAAGTGTGTTTAAATGACTAATCATGCTTTAAACAAAATCAAAGTTTTTTTATTGGTGATAAAAGCGAAATTTTTATCATTTGATAAAAGAAAAAAAAAAAGAAAATTAGAATAATATTAAATAATTCCATTTTTTAGTTGAAACGTTAGAAATTTCGTATTTAGGGTCAATTAAACACATTTTTAAACTTCACCCAATATTGGGCAATTTTGAATCAAAAAATTCCTCAGTACGGCCCTGATATGGCCCCTATTTTGACAAAATTTGTACTAAGTGTGTTTAAATGACTAATCATGCTTTAAACAAAATCAAAGTTTTTTTTATTGATGAAAAAAGCGAAATTTTTATCATTTGATAAAGGAATTAGAAAAAAAAAGAAAATTAGAATAATATTCAAAAAGTCCATTTTTTAGTTGAAACTTTAGAAATTCCGTATTTAAGGTCAATTAAACACATTTTTTAATCTTCACTCAATATTAATCAAAAAATTCCTCAGTACAGCCCTGATATGGCTCCTATTTTGCCAAAATTTGCAAGTGGTTAAAGGACCAACCATCCTTTAAAAAAATCAAAGTTTTTTTATTGGTGAATAAAGCGAAATTTTTATCATTTGATGAAGGAATTAGAAAAAAAAAAAAGAAAATTAGAGTAATATTCAAAATGTCCATTTTTTAGTTGAAACTTTAGAAATTCCGTATTTAAGGTCAATTAAATACATTCTTTAAACTTCACCCAATATTGGGCTATTTTTAATCAAAAAATTCCTCAGTACGGCCCTGATATGGCCCCTATTTTGACAAAATTTGCACTAAGTGTGTTTAAAGGACTAATCATGCTTAAAAAAAAATTAAAGTTTTTTTTAGCCCTCAATTTGTTAATTTTTGTGTACTAAAAAAAATGTTCTAACTTTATTAAAAGTTGAGCTTTTTTAATGAAACGTCCCTGGCATGACTCCTATTGTGACAAGATTTGCACTAAGTAAGTTTAAAGGTCTAGAAATTGGGAATATGTACTTTTAAAAAAAAATTTGAAGTTTTTAAAGAAGGTTTTAGCCCTCAATTTGTCAATTTTGGGACTAGACTTAGCACCCGTACCAAAAAAATGTTATAACTTTTCTAAAAATTGAGCAATTTTGATGAAATTTTTAAAGTGACTTTAATTTGGTCTAAGTGATGTATTGTTGGTAATTTATTGGAGAAATTTTATCAAAATATGAAATTTGTAGCCATAATCCATAATAACTAATTTCGACATTTCATTTAACTGCAAAGTCTATCCTTTGCGTTACAAAGATTTATTTTGACGCAACAAGTAATATTTTTTGAGGAACACTAAAACTTGGAATATCCTGTAATTTTAAGAGATTGGTCCAGAGGCTCTGATTCACAAAAAAAAATTGTGAAGTACAGCATTGTTTTTCCCTGATTTATTCTAAAACAAAATGTGTGATGTTTTAAAAATAAAATAGTTGAATTTTTTTTGAATAAAATTGAAATTTTTTTGATAAAATTATAACAAATAATTTTGAAAATACTCTTACGTTGCTACATTTTTATTTCTATTTTTGCAATAAATGTTTAGTTCATTACTGAACTAAAATAATCAAACACTGAAACACATTTTTGGGCGATTTTAGTTTATTTCGAATTTTTGTGGCATGTACAGAGTGTCTCAGGTAAGTTTTCTTCGTTGATATCTTTGTTAACTTTAAATGAATAAAACATCTTTTTTTTTCATATATAATTTTAGAAGACTTCAATTTTCAAGAATAAAAAATGATTTTGGTAAGTGGTATTTTTTTTCGGAAAAGTTACGATTTTTATGTTTCTGGGTTATTTTAGTTATTCACTTTTGTAATTTTGTTATTTAAAGGGACATTTTTCTATTAAATGACTCGATCGCTAAATTACTTGTTTTTATCACCAGTGGTAAAACATTTATTAAATTTTTATAATTAACAAAAATTAATAAATTGAGGGCTAAACTTTGATTTTTTTTAAAAGCATGATTAGTCCTTTAAACACACTTAGTGCAAATTTTGTCAAAATAGGGGCCATATCAGGGCCGTATTGAGGAATTGTTTGATTAAAAATAACCCAATATTGAGTGAAGTTTAAAAAATGTGTTTAATTGAGCTTAAATACGGAATTTCTAAAGTTTCAACTAAAAAATGGGCTTTTTGAATATTATCTTAATTTTCTTTTTTTTTTCACTTAGATTAAACTAAAGCCATTAAAAACTTCATTAAAAACGCTCAATTTTTAATAAAGTTAGAACATTTTTTAGCAGAGATGTTAACCCTAGCCCCAAAAATTAACAAATTGAGGGCTAAAAAAACTTTGATTTAAAAAATCAAAGCATGATTTTGTCAAAATAGGAGCCATATCAGGGCCACCTTTTAATTTGAGATTTAATTCCAAAAGAATTGAATTTCTCCGAACGCTGACGCATCTCCTTATCACACTTCACGCCTCCATATCAGCATTCACCAACTCCCAGACTCCTTTACATCCTCTCGCGATAATTCGCTGCCACTCTCCTAGTAATATTTTCGTCGAAAACAAAACAAGTCGTGTTATTTTTTGCAGTATTGGCAGAATTGGAAAGACCGTGCCATTTCAACACACTCGAGTTCGATCAACATCGACGATACGAATTTCGAAACCGATCCGAGTTTCATTCGGGACAAAAGCGCTTCTTGCAATTTAGGCCTTGAATTAAGTCCTCGACCGACGACGGTCATCGGCATCGGCCAAAGTCGCAACAAGTCCTTCAAAAACTCCAAGAAACGCGTCATTTTCCAAGAGAAAAAGCACGAAGAAAAGAAGGAAAATTGCCATTTGAAGAGTAATTTAAACGAGGAGAAGAGCATCAGTGTTAATAGTTTAGCGAGTTTGAATAACGAAAATATTGCGTTTATTGATGAAGGACGAGAATTGACAGATCGCACAAGTATGGTCACTGAGGATGATGTTAAGAAAGAGTGTCAATATTTTCACACTACTCATGATAGAGTTAAAGATGTGGCGCTTGCCGAGGTTAAGATTCATGATATTATTAAGAAATTTGATGAGAAGGAAGTTGTTGTTGTTAAACCGAAGATTTTTCCGAGATCACAGATCAAGAAACCACCAGATGTGCCACAAAAACCGGATTCGAGTAAAAAACCGGTAGTGCCACCTAGGGTTATTAGGGGAAGGTTGGATAAAAGCCACAGTACGCCGGCTTATGACTTGACCGGAGATGAGAATTCGCCGGTTGAGAAATTTCTCGTGGAGAAGACACAAGTGGAAGTTGTTGGTAAATTTTGCGTTTTTTTCTCTTTGTTACAAAATCAAAAAATTCTTTGACGCGAAGCTGAGGGCTTTAAACATTTCTTTAAGCTATAATCTGGTTGATTATGATTTAAACTGTCGATAACTTAAAAGTTACCTTTCACCAAAATTAATATCAAACGAAATTCTAATATTTATAATTTTTAACCAAGAAAGAAAATATGTTTTGTTCGATAGTCTAAGAGGCGTTAAATGAGTAATTTTTAGTTTCAAAAGCTTTAATAACAATTTTTTCAAAGTATGAATGGCCGTTAACTTGAAATAAAGTGTGTACAACTAATTTCAGTTCCAACAAAAATTGCACGGAAATTACAGTAATTCTAATTTAATTCCTGTAATTCCAAATTAATTCCGATAGTTCTAAGAAATTCAAAGTAATTTTGGAAAGAAATTATCTTCGATAATTCAA